AAAAATTATGATGATAGACATGATAAGTTGTACAGTGAAATTTATATTATGAATAACCAGTAACCACTGTAAGGAAAAACTAACAGGATACGAAATATGCTCTAGGTTTGATAATATATTAAAAACAATGTTTCAAGAAATATCGGTTCAACGAGAACAAATGTATGAATCAATCGATAGATATATAACAACAAATAAAGGGGAAACAACAACGAGCCCATATAGGAAAAAACGAGGATTAATAAATATAGTAGGGGCTGGAATGAAAACACTATTTGGAGTATGTGATAATGATTGTGCGAATGAGGCAACACAAGAAATAGATAAAATAGAAAAGACAAATGAAAGAATGATACATATATTAAAAAACCAAACAACGGTAGTGAGATCAGCGATAACAGGTATAAGTGACGCTTCAATTGAAATTAATAAATTATACAAAGAGTTGGGTGAAAAACAAAGTACATTTCACGCAAAAATCGGAGAATTAGTAAATGTTACACACACGTTAGAAACACTAATATTATCTGATAGAATACATAGTATTTTTACAGCATTATTAAGTGCCGGATCACACTATGCGTTTTGTCGGTTGCCGATAAAACGCAACCGATCGGTAAACGACYGCGACATCCATAATTAACATTAAACCGCATTATCAGGACCAGACTGACCGATTCGGCGAACTGATTTAAAATCGTCAGGAACCGGCCGCAACATGTTGCGGTTGACTTTGCCGATGCGTTTCGGAAAATACCCCAAAACACTTTAGTTAATATTGAGCCGACCACACATGCGGATCATCGGTTGCGGTTTTTTAATATAAATTATAATTTTTTTAAAGTTTAATTAATTTAAAAATAACATGTATTCAACGGAAAAATTAATTTCGGAAGTCCAGAACTATCCATGTTTATGGGATATGAGTTCTAAAGAATACAGCGATAAGGATTTAAAAAAATCATGTTGGATGTGTTTAATTGTCTATATTTTATGATTTAAAAGACAATTTGGTAAAAGTGAAATACATGTGTTTATTGTAATTCTCTGTAACACTACATTGCTGTTGTCGAGTATAACCTCACTTTCTTGTTGTTTCATTCATATATTATCTTATATCTAAACATCTTATCAATTGATCATATTATTATCATTACCCACACATGCCCCCCCTTTTTTTTAACAATATTTTTTTTTTAACAATAACTCTTGATTAATACATTTTTTTAAAGTAAAACACAAAATAAAATTTTTTTTAATCTACTGTTACACAGGTACACATAATAATATTAATAATAATAATACTGTACTGAACTGTATAAGTTTTTTTTTTTAAATGTTCTCCATATCTATCAGGAGCCCTTTTTTTCTTTGTGATTTTCTCACTACTAGTTCCTTATCTTGCACTTGTTCTTTTTCCTTGATTTCATCATCTTTCTCTAACCTTTGGTATGTTTTTATTTTCTTTAAAAATATGTCATTTCTCCTTATTACTCTATTGTTTTTGTCTATTCTTACCAGATAGGATCTAAATGGTAATACCTTCACAATACTACCTTCACTCCATAACTTATTTTTTATGTCCTGTACCCATACTCTATCTCCTGTCCTTAATTCTGAATTTTTGTTTACACTTGTCTTAGTGAACTGCTCTGTTAACTTAATTTTTTCTTTTATTATTAATTTATGTGCATCTTCATATATAAGTTTTGGTTTTAGATCTTCTAATTTATATGGAACTTTAGATCTCAATTTCCTACTCATTAATATTTGTGCTGGTGAATACTGTAATCCAGCCACTGGACTATTATTATAATTTAATTTATATAACTCAAAATCAACTACCTTATCATTTTGACATTTCTTTAACATACTCTTGACAATTCCTACTGCTTTTTCACTCTGTCCATTACTTTTAGGATAATTTGGAGAGGATGTAGTAAAAACAAAATTCCACTCATTAGCAAACTTTTTACATTCACTTGAATTAAAAGGTACATTATCTGCAACCACTACTTCCGGTATACCATGTGTACTAAATATTTTCTTCATTTTGCTTATACATTCTGCTGAAGTTTTATTAGTCAGCAATTCCACTTCTAACAATTTTGAAAAGTAGTCTACCATTATCAGAAAATTTTTTCCAGCATATTCGGCTATATCAATACCTATTTTATTGAAAGGTGTTTCAGGTATATTGTGGTTAATTAGTGTTTTTTTTATCTGTGTTCTTGCATATTTATTACACGTTTTACATTGTCCTACGAATGTTTTTATTTCAGATGTTATAGCTGGCCAATAAAATAATTCCCTCGCTATTTTGTAAATTTTATTAAAACCTAAGTGTGTTTCGTGTAACAGATTAAGTACATATTTTCTCAATTTCTTTGGTACTATTAATCTTGTTTTATAATAAATAAGACCCTCTGACACCTCTATGTCATTTTTTAAATTTATATAATGTTTAATCTCATTTTGTTCATTACCTCTTATGTTTGTCCAACCATTTAAATAATATTCATAAATTAATTTTAAATTTTATCATGTATGGTTTCTTTTTGGTATAGTTTCATTTTATCCTCACTAAAGTGTATACTTTTTATCCCTATAGAATGTATCACATCTCTCATTGTTAAGTCTTCCTCTTCATATGACTCTATGTTCAACTTCGATAAGAAATCGCCTATAACATTTTTTTTTCCTGATATATATTTTAGTGTAAAGTTGTAAATAATTAACTTTAATCTAAGTCTTTTTATTCTGTTATTTTGTATTTCATCTAGTGTTTTATTAATAATCGATGTCAATGGCATATGATATGTATAAATTGTTACATCCCCATGACCATAAATGTAATTATGAAATTTGTTGCACGAAAATGTAATAGCTAGTAACTCCTTCTCAATTTGTGCATACTCTATTTCTGTTTTATTTAATGATCTCGATGCAAAGTAAACAGGTCTACCATTTTGCATCAAACAACTACCTAATGCGCTCTTTGACGCATCACAGTATATTTGTACAGGTAATCTCACATCATATGGTACTAGTACTTTATTACTTAAAATAATATTTTTTAAGTTGTCTATTGCTTTAGCACATTCCTTAGACCATACCCACATACTATCTTTTTTTAATAATTGCCTTAGTGGTTCTGTTAAGTTTGACATATTTGGTATAAAGTTTCTCAAAAAACCTATCATACCTAAGAATCTTTGTAGTTCTAATTTATTAGTTGGGTATTGTAGCTCTTTAATAACTTTTATTTTATCTGGACTAGATCTCATTCCACTTTTATTAAAATCATTCCAAGATACTTAACTTCTTTTACACAATACTGTATTTTATCAAAATTAAACTTTATATTATAGTCTCTAGCTCTCTGTATCACTTTGTCAACTATATTATCATGCTCCTCTATTGTATTAGCACTTATCATTATATCATCTACATATATTGTAACACCTGGAATATCCCCAAAATATTTATATACTAATTTTTGAAAAAATTCTGGAATATTTTTTAATCCAAATGGTGCTCTCACAAATCTATATGTCCCATATACGGTGTTAAAAGGACAGTATTTGCTTGATTCCTCATCTAGTTGTATGTGATAAAAACCATCCTTTATGTCGAATATCGTATAATATGTTTTATGTGATAATTTGGGTGCAAGTTCTTCTAAAGTTGGTATGGTATACATTTCTTTAATTATAGCTTTATTTAAATATATTGGATCTATACACAATCTAAGGGACCCGTTTGTTTTCTCTACTATTTGTAACCTATTTACCCAATCAACTGGTTCATTAACTGGTATAATAATTCTCTTTTCCTCTAAAATATTCAATGTAGTTTTGAATTTATCTTTTATTTTAATTGGTATTCTTCTCGCTGTTAATGCTTTCGGTATGGACCCTTCTTTTAATTTGATCTTACAAATATCTGGAAAACATCCTAAGCCCGTGAATATATCCTTATTTTGTTCATACAACTTTTCTTTTGTATTAGATACTTCAATAGTGTTTATTTCTTTTTTTATCATGTCAACCCTTTTCACCAGACCTAATTCCACACTTGACTTTAGACCTAGTATTGGAGTCAATTTCTCTTTAATAACTACAAATGTAACCAATGTATTTATTTGTTCATTTTTGATTATCATATTGCACTTTAAATTTATTTTACCTATTGCATCTATACACGTCCCTCCAAACGCATACAATTTAATCTTAGAATATTTTATTTCTTGTTGTTTCTTTTTATCTATATAATGTAATGGCAATACATTAATATCAACACCTGTATCAATTTTAAATTTAACATTTACATTATCTACCCTCAGGTCTTTACACCATGTTTCATTGCTAACTGTTTTTCTATTGTCAATTACATTATTTTTTAAACTATCTATTGTAAACTGAACCTCTCCTATTTCTGTTTCTCTCTCACTTAATGTATGTGCTTTTAATGTCCTACAACATGCTTTAAAATGATCTACACGACTACATGCGTTACACTCCTTCCCATACGCAGGGCAACTTCTAGGACCATGTATCGTACCACCCCTTTGACAGCCATATTCTTTGCCATTTTTTTCCCATTTTTTTGTTTTACTCTCATTATGCTTAATGTTTTTATGTTGTTTATACTTATGTGTTTCAGTATTTTTTTTAACAGTATTATAATTATTATATGTACCTTTACATTTTGTTTTATCTTCCATCAGCCACACTCTGTCTGCTTCCATTGACTGCTCCAGTTCCTTTCTATTTTGTTCAGCTGCTTCCACTGCACGACAATATTGAAGTGTTTTTTCCAACGATAGGTCTTCGCGAAGCAATCGTTCTTGTACATCCTTGTTTTGTATTCCCAGTACTACTCTGATTTTCAGGATACGATCTTCATCACTTTTGAAATCACATTGTTTCACCAATTCTTTAAGGCTGGTAATGAATGAGTCAAATGTTTCATCTGGTTGTTAATTTCTAGTAAACAACTTTTAGAACGTCATAGCCTCATTTTTTTTTGGACTACAATAATCTTCAAATTTTTTTAATATTGCTTCTACTATTTCCTCTTCTTTAATACCTAGTGTATTATATATTTTTAAAGCATCAGTTCCCATTAAATTTAAGAGTCTGGCAACCTGTACATAATTTTCCTCTTTATTTGTCTTCGTTGATTTGAAGTAAATGTTTATTTCTTGTTTAAACACTCTAAACTGTTCATTTATATTACCGTCCAATACCAATGGTCCTGGTTTATTGAACGAGTTCAATTTTAGTCAATTAATATCTTCTTTCTGTTGATACTAAATTACTTCACGTTCCGACTTTGACCGTAGTTCTTTTATATCGACTGCGCCATGTTTAATTGTCTATATTTTATGATTTWWAAGACAATTTGGTAAAAGTGAAATACATGTGTTTATTGTAATTCTCTGTAAMACTACATTGCTGTTGTCGAGTATAACCTCACTTTCTTGTTGTTTCATTCATATATTATCTTATATCTAAACATCTTATCAATTGATCATATTATTATCATTACCCAAGGGGAT